GGACCGAGACTGGAGATTTGTGGCAGTTGACGTTCCTTACAAACAGTCACAGGCTTGCAAAGCCAGTATACAACGATTGATGCACCCTCACAAGACGGAAATGGATTTGTCCATCACCATGGCACTCTTCTTTGCCGCTGAGGGTACAGGGATTCTATCCCAAAACGCAAAAATACAGCATCCACCGAAGGAACTCTACACCTCTCACGCTCGAGTCCTTCTTTCGGGCTTGGGAGCGGACGAGTTATATGCAGGGTATTCGCGACATGCTGCAGCTTTTGCTCGGGGTGGATTTGTCGACTTGGCGGACGAACTCGAGCTAGATCTCAATCGGATCGGGTCTCGTAATTTGGGCCGGGACGACCGTGTTCTGAGTCACTGGGGCAAAGAGGTGCGTTACCCTTATCTAGATGAAGATTTCGTGAGATTCTCTCTAGGTCTTCCGGTGTGGGAAAAATGCGGGTTCAGGTCGGCAAAAGAAATCCCCAAGCATTATGAGGAAGCCCGCCGAGTACACAAACCCGAAGATCTTGAGCCATCGAAGATGTTGTTGAGATTAGCTGCGTGGAAGCTAGGTATGCGGAGAGTTGCTGCAGAAAGGAAGAGGGCTATTCAATTCGGCGCGAGGACTGCAAAAATGGATATTGGCAAAGGAAGGACAAAGGGGACAGACGTCTTAATCAACGAAAGTTGATCTTCTCGGCACCATTGCAACACGGGAAGAGCCGCGGACTAATCGACCAGTTCCACGCCTAGGACCAGCGGAGGGTATTGATGGAGCGGCTATGATGACAATTCACAGATACTTCTGAGGTCTGCACGACTTGCGCTGGATGCAGCACTCCTCCAGGATGCGACTGTAACCGCCAAGTCGACCCATGAAGACTGAAAAAAGGCAAGTCTGAGCCGCGGAAACGGGTACAATGTCCTCGATCACTCAACGTCGATGAGGCGGGCTACTGATGTCAATGATTCGACACCGTACATGCGTGGGAATGAAAAGCCGCATTCCAATTACGGAACTGCAATGAGATGCCAATACCACTACGGAGATCTGAAGCCACTCTTTGGCGACGGAGAAGAGCGTCTTGGTAATGCTTGCGCTCTCCACTTCCATCCCCCACTTACTCTTGGTTGCATAAAATTCTGGCCGACAAGTACGACTTCTCGAAGGGCGTGATGACGATCGTGGGTTTGACAAATTCAGAGGATTTGCAGAGGGCGACTGCTTTTTGTTTCTCTCTGTCTTGTTATCGAAGACCTCGAAACCTATCTCGACCTCAATGGACACGGCCGCACTCCCTGTGATTCAGCAGGTAGAATCTCATAACCAACCACAGCAAGACGTGGTTCCTCTAGCCGAGGGTGACACAATACCAATACAGACCAGCTCCGAGGCCAAAGCAGCAGCTGCCATTAACATTCACAAAGAAGCCTATGCCTACGGCGATGCTGAGCAACAGATCACAACACTTGATGTTGACGAGGCAGAACCAGGCCATGGACCAAACGACACTTTTCCTGAAGGCGGCCTTCAAGCCTGGCTTGTCCTGACTGGTGCATTCCTCGCTCTCTTTGCTTCCTTTGGGTTTATGGTGTCTATTGGAACAATCCAAGAACACCTTCAGATGCACCAGCTATCGGCCTACACATCCCGCGACATCGGCTGGATTCCTTCTGTATTTGTCTACTTGGCTCTCGGATTGGGCATCTGGGTTGGACCTCTCTTCGACCGGTACGGCCCACGGTGGATTGCATTGATAGGGAGTATAAGTTATGTGGTCATGGTCTTTTTGTTAGCAGAATGTCAAAAGTACTGGCAGTTTCTACTGTGCCTCGGATTCCTAGGTGGCATTGCTGGCGCAACTTTGACTACGACTGGTTTGGCTGTGGTCAGCCATTGGTTCAAGCGAAGGAGAGGTCTCGCGCATGGAATCGCAATGGTGGGGTCGAGCTTTGGCGGCGTCACGATCCCTCTGATCCTGAGGGCCACGCTCCCTAAATATGGATACGCGTGGTCTATGCGTATCCTGGGGTTTTTGTTCCTAGCATGCTTGGTCCTCGCAAATGCGTTGATGAAGCCGCGCTTGCCGCCGTCTGCTGAAGCACGGAAGAAAGCAATCATATCGTTGGGACTATTTGGGGACTTGAAATTCACCTTCCTTACCATCAGCGTCTTTGGGTTTGAAATTGTTTTGTTTGGTGCGCTGGGCATTCTCCCGACATACGCGAACTACGGCGACAAGTTCCCGCCGGACACAGGGTTTTATATCATATCAGTCCTCAATGCCTCGTCCTGTTTCGGACGGATCATCCCGGGCTACATATCCGACTTTGTGGGCCGCTTCAACACCCTCCTCTTCATGATCCTCTTCACCTTGATCCTCATGGTCGCCGTCTGGCTCCCACTAGGCCACACCTCCCTGGCTGCGCTCTACGTCTTCGCCGCATTCTTTGGCTTCGGCACTGGCTCGTGGATGGCCTTGACCCCGGCATGCATAGGTCAGCTCTGCGAGGCGGATCAGTTCGGACGGTTCTACGGCACATCCTATTTCATCGGCAGCCTTGCGGCTCTCGTCTGTATCCCCATCAGTGGTGAGCTGGTAGAGGCGGCTGGTCCACAGATCATGGTCGGGTTCATGTGTGTCGTCGCGGGAGTGAGCATGGGGACGTTCATACTCAGTCGATGGGCGTGTTTGGGTTGGAGGTGGCGGTGGATGGCCAAGGTATAAGCAAAGGTAGTAGACAAAAACGAATGACTATGTCAAGATGTGATATTGTGTATAGTCGTATATATGCTGCCATGTTCAAGTCTATGTCTATATCTATATTCTGTGCACAACCCTTCCTGGGCTGGATCCTGTACAAAGACAACTCATCCGCGTGCGTCGGATATAATTAGAGGAGAAGATATGGTGTATCAGTTGATTCATTTCTGTCAGATGCTGCCCTTTGCCCTGGATTTGCAAAATATGTAGCTGGACAACCCACGGCGATTCGCACCATTCCGTCTGTGCTGGAGTTCTAGTACCACCTTTCGCTCGTCCTTGTCATACATTGTTGTTTGGAGGCTTCTGATAACGCTTGTTCCCCCTGGCAATGGTGATTGCAGGGTATATGAGCAGCAGACCGCCCAAGAGACTGGCAGCACCTCCAAAGGCTTGGCCGTGCGCGTAGTCGTCCGTGGCCGTGTTGACGAGAGCACCGGCAATGGGGCCGCCGATCAAACCTGCAAAAGCGGAGCCAGACCATGCCATGCCGGTCCTTGCGCCCACGACACTCGGCGACGGTGACAGCAGAGGAACCACCGCGGCGGGGATGGCGACTGTGATGCCTGCCATGAAGCCCACCAGCACGGCCCAGACGGTGACGCCGGGGACGTTGTGGATCCCGATCCACGCCAATATCAATACGCCGAGACCGATGCCGCCAGCTACGAGGACAACCGCGGGGCCGAATTTGTGCGCGACGAAGGCAGGGAGGATTCGGCCGGCGAAACTGCCCGCGTTCAGAATGGCTAGCAGATAAAATGCGTACGAGACGTTCGTTTTGACGGAGAACTGGGCGTATGGCGTAATGTAGATCAAAGGCACCCAATATCCTAGGAAGACAAAGAATAAGCCGACCAAAAGGACGACGAACGGCGGCTCTTTGAGGGCTGAAGGGTCGAACAGCTGTCCCTGGAGGCGTCTGTGCCTTGGATCTGGCTGGAGCAGGAAGAAGGCAGCTATTACCATGCCCAACATGATGAACCCGAATATGCGGTTGGTCCACCCGAAGCCGATCTCGGGTTGTAAGTGACGAAACATGATGGGCAGCACGATGCCTCCAACGGCTGCTCCAGAAGATGATCCTCCGATCGCAAGTGGTCGTTGCTTAGCGTTGAATGTCTGGCTGATGACGGCTATCGAGGGTATGTATAGCATTCCATTACCTGGGACACCCGTCAGTACGGTACCATAACAATTTGCTTATGGCCAAGTACTTACCGAATCCAATACAGACGCCCTGGGCCAGAATGATCTGATAGTATTCCTTGGCAAGGCTGAGCATCATGAAGCCGAATGTGACCAGTGAACCCCCGACAACCAACAACGTTCGAATGTAGCCTCTGTCATAAAGAGCCCCAGAGACAATTCCCGTCAGTCCCATCAAGGACACCTGAAGAGTGCCAACCCATGATATGACGGATGGCGTATGAGAGGCCAACAAGTCCTTCTGATAAAAAGCTTGATAGGCACTGAATGAGGAGGCAACACCCCAGGTGATGAAGAAGACGAAAAAGCACCCTATAATCCTGCAGGTCGCGGTGAAATCCCGCTTGCTCTCATGGATATTACCGTCAGGCGCATGGTCAGTTGGTGCAGGCGGCTCGCCGAGAGGGATGCTCAGGGCAGAGTTCTCCCCATCTTCCTCCTGTGTCATGTCCTCTTGACTAACTCTCTTGACAGGCGTTTGACAAACCTCATACTGAAAGAGGAAGAGAGAGAAAGAGAGTGATTGATGGAGGAGAAATGATTCTTACATTTAGATCGGCACTTATCAACGGCTCCAGATGCCGTGATACTAGCGCCATTCACGGAGCCTGACACTTCCCCCGGAGATCCTTAAAGCAGCGACACCGGCGGCGAGGTTTTCCGCTGCCTTGGCAGGGACCGAAGTGCGGCTCTCGAATGGGGCCTTCGAGGTCTGTTCGCGTCTGCTACTGTTACTGCTGTTCTGCTGCCACCAATTCTGCGAACGACCATCAGCCCCGTCACTTCGTCCTCAGCCTTGAGGTCAGCCTCACTTCGATCACGACGCGAACTTCCTTGTTATTTCACAAGACAACAAACGGACGTCTGCAGTCACCACCGAACCTGCATTGTCATGTGAATTTTCCTTGCCTGTTTAATCGACCATTAGAGAACCCTCTCGACCACAGATTTCAGCTGTGCCCAAAATCCTCCTTGACTTAGCCTCAAACCATCACGTTTGCGTTCACTCCCACGATCATCAAGATGCCTGACGAACATGATGTCAAAGATGAACACAAAGAGAGCCATGAAGATGGTGGTGAAGAAGAAGAAGTGAGCATCTCCCACTAATTACTCCACCGTCCTATACTCGGTTGATCTGTGCTCACATGTGTCGACAGGAAGAGATTGCAGCGATGAAGAGACGCGTCGCCGAGATGGAGTCGGAAGCGGCCAAACTTCGCGAAATGCAAAGCCACCTCGAACAATCCTCGGAGACTATGCCTAGGGAAGACAGAGAAGATGTGGACGCGCGCAGCATCTTTGTCGGCAATGTGGACTACGGCGCAACTCCTGAAGAGATTCAAGCACATTTCGCCAGCGGCCCAGGGACGATAAACAGAGTCACCATCCTCCTGGACAAGTTCACTGGTCATCCAAAGGGGTGGGTCTAAAATAAACTCCAAGCACTATTATGCATAAGGCTTGTTCAAGAGCTGGATGCTATTCTTTCAAGACCCTCAAGAAAAAATCATTTCATGCTGCCTGGCAAGAGATGGATTGCTAATGGAACTATCGCGCAGGTATGCATATGTGGAATTCTCAGATCCAGGACTGGTGGCTCAAGCATTGGTGCTCAATGAAAGTGTCTTCCGTGGCCGCAATCTCAAGGTCAGTTCCGAGTCCTGGTCTAGGTTTTCTAAGATGGTGCTGACAAGATACTTCAGGTGGTTCCAAAGCGCACAAATCTTCCAGGCATGACTCGAGGCAGAGGAAGAGGGGGTCCTGCTCGTGGTGCTCGAGGAGGCTTCGGCGGACGAGGAGGCTTTGGAGGAGGCTATGGGGGATTTGCTGGCGGAGGCTATGGTGCTCCACGTGGGGGCCCTCGCGGCGGCTTCCGAGGCCGTGGCCGTGGATTTGCACCGTACTGAGAAGAGACTGAGAAACCCTTCTTATTCTCGGCTTCACTCAAGTCCTCTGCGACATAGCACGCGACACTGCTCAAGGTCATGGAGGTCCACGACGGAGGCAACAAGAATGCAAGCAGCGTTCATGCTGGGATTTTTCGGCATATTGGAACCGAGAATTGGTCAACTGCGACTTGTCATTTATTTCGAATGGCATACAGTCAGTAATGGCACTTGACTTCTTGGGCTGCTCGGATCGATATTGGACGGGGACCAGGCCGAAAGCCTTTTGTAAGATTTATGGAATCAATATGGACAGAGATTGAGGACGCCACTGCAAAAGGCGACCAAATCTCTCTACAATTGAGAACAATATGGAGATTAATAATGACTTGGGGGATTTGGTCTTGATGTGCGGAATGTTTCTTCGCCCTCAAATTCCGGTATGTGGTGTTTGATATATAAACCGATGGGGTTCATCGACGTTTTGGTGGTGGTCGGTATGATGTAAGCCTTGGTTACCTTTTGGTCTCGTCCCAGAGTCTTGTCCCGGTCAAAATCCACCCACCAAGACTTGAACCTCCGTCCCGCCTGAAGATTATCGACCTTCGCTCTACCCTCAGATTGGCAGCACCGTAAGATACCATCGAGACTGCGGCTGCTGCTGCCATTGCAACAGTGGCATTATTGGTAATTACGCCTCTTCAGCTATTACACAATCATGACTTGAGCGAGGTGGAACCTGTCCTTGCCCGTCCTCTTCCGCAAACCTCTTAGCGCCTCACACTCTGTCGAGCTGCGCCTCGTTGACTCTCCAAACCCGCCGCTCATTCACCCATTAAGTCACTTGCGAATACGATCCGGGCAACGTTCTGCGACCCCTGCGGACATCAAGTCCATCAACTACCTTTGATTCTACGCATATTGTTATTGTCTCTGTCAAGCCAATATTGCTGGGTTGTCCTCTCTATAACAGATCCTTCCCCCAAGTTACCCCGCCGCACGAGAGCTGTCCGCAGGCTGCGAACCCTGGGGCGCTTCCCAGTGGCTGATCAACCAAGATGCCTGAAGCAAATCTGCCTGCGTTCGTGTCCCTGTGTACTTATTGTTGCGAGGAGATGCTAACGGCGAGGGTACAGAGAGCCTAATCTGCGAGTCACAAGTATGGCTCTATTACTCCCAGTTCGCCCATCCGTCCCATGAAACTAACCTTTTCCAGTCATCGCGGCTGATGGCCTGTATAAAAGAGATGTGTTCAGTGAGTGTCGATATACACCGAACAGCAAAGATGTGGTTACTGAGAACATTCAGGATTCCCCGACCCCTTTGCCGTCGCAACCATTTCGGGAGAACAAACAAAGACAACTTCGGTCATCAGGAAAACATTGAATCCCTACTGGAATGAAGTCTTTGATATGTGGGTAACAAGCGGTCATTGACTGTGGGGACACAATATTGACTACTTGGCAGGAGAGTCACAGAGGATAGCATACTGGCGATTCAAATCTTCGACCAAAAGAAGTTCAAGAAGAAGGACCAAGGCTTCCTTGGTGTCATCAATATCCGCATCGGCGATGTCATTGACCTGGAGATGGGGGGCGACGGTATACCCAGTATCTTCTACCGTGTTGAAACACATACTAACCCGTGGTTAGAGATGCTTACGAGGGATCTTAAGAAGTCCACTGACAACCTCGTCGTCCATGGCAAGTTGATCGTGAATTTATCCACCAATCTCTCCAGCCCTCCTCCTCAGCAAAATCGACCACCCCCAAGCACCGCTTCTAGCGTAAATGGCTCCAACCCATATGCTGGAAGCAGCACCAACGTCAACCAGCCATTGCCCATTCGGTCTAGAAGCCCGGCGACGCGAACTGCTACTTCTGGCTCCGGAGATGCGAGATCATCCAACACGGCAGTCAATGGAAGTAGTACCCCCCAACCAAACGGTGCCGGTGCCGGGAGATCTGGAGGCTTCAGCTCTTTTGAAGACAGTCAAGGCCGTTTGCCAGCTGGATGGGAGCGGAGAGAAGACAACCTGGGCCGCACTTATTATGTTGATCATAACACTAGAACCACGACCTGGACTAGGCCTTCCAACCACATGAGCGAGACCGAAGCACGTAACCGCGTGGAGGCCAACATGCAGATGGAACGTACACGACACCAAAACCGTATGCTTCCAGAGGATCGTACGGGAGCCAACTCCCCGAACTTGCAGGAATCGCGTGGCTCACCTCAGCAACCGAATGCGGTGTCCATGATGGCTACAGGGGCAACAACCGCCGGGACTGGCGAACTTCCTGCTGGTTGGGAACAAAGGCACACTCCCGAAGGGCGAGCTTATTTTGTTGACCACAATACTCGAACCACAACCTGGGTGGATCCTAGAAGACAGCAGTATATTAGGATGTACGGCAATAACCCGTCTGGGAACAACACCACCATCCAACAGCAGCCGGTCTCGCAATTGGGACCATTGCCTAGTGGGTGGGAAATGCGTTTGACCAACACCGCGCGGGTATACTTCGTGGACCACAACACCAAGACCACGACCTGGGATGATCCAAGACTGCCCTCTTCCTTGGATCAGGGCGTGCCGCAATACAAGCGTGACTTCAGGCGGAAGCTGATCTACTTCCGTTCGCAACCTGCATTGAGGATTCTTTCCGGCCAATGCCACATCAAAGTCCGCCGTGGCGCCATTTTTGAGGACTCGTATGCTGAAATCATGCGCCAAAGCGCAACCGACCTCAAAAAACGACTAATGATCAAGTTTGATGGGGAAGACGGTCTGGATTATGGTGGTCTTTCTCGGTAAGAAACCTTCTTTTGAGATTGTTGTCCTTCACATTGCTAACACTTGACTAGCGAGTTCTTCTTCCTCCTTTCACATGAAATGTTCAATCCATTCTACTGTCTATTCGAATACTCAGCACACGACAATTATACACTACAAATCAATCCTCACTCCGGTATCAACCCAGAGCACTTGAACTACTTCAAATTCATTGGGCGAGTGGTTGGTCTTGCGATCTTCCATCGTCGATTCCTAGATTCCTTCTTCATTGGAGCATTCTACAAGATGATGCTGAGAAAGAAAGTCACCATCAACGACATGGAGGGTGTTGACGAAGAATATCACAAGAACTTGACATGGATGCTTGAAAATGACATCACCGACGTTCTCGATCAGACCTTTTCAATTGAGGACGAACAGTTTGGCGAAACAAAGACAATTGACCTGAAACCCGGTGGTCGAGACATTGCGGTCACTAACGAAAACAAGAGAGAATATGTCGAGTGAGTGTCAATTCCACTTTCCCGACTAAAGGGTAATATTCTAACCTTCATCCAGGCTTCTCACCGAGTGGAAAATCCAGAAGCGGGTTGAAGAACAATTCAATGCCTTCATCACTGGTTTTAATGAACTTATCCCCGCTGACCTTGTGAATGTCTTCGACGAGCGCGAACTCGAGCTTTTGATTGGCGGTATCGCCGACATTGACGTGGACGATTGGAAGAAACACACCGACTATCGCGGATACCAAGAGCAAGATGAGGTGATCCAAAACTTCTGGAAGGTAATCCGGTCATGGGACGCTGAGCAGAAGTCTCGCCTGCTCCAATTTGCTACAGGCACAAGTCGAATTCCTGTCAATGGATTCAAGGATTTACAGGGCAGCGATGGCCCTAGAAGATTTACGATCGAGAAGGCGGGTGAGATCAACGCGTTGCCAAAGAGCCATACTTGGTATGTTTAGCCCTCTATTCTCGTCTCTCAGACTCGTGGATCAATCTGCTGACCAAAATACAGCTTCAACCGCCTCGATCTCCCACCATACAAGACCTATGATGCCCTCCAGAGCAAACTATCCACCGCTGTGGAGGAAACGCTGGGCTTTGGCCAAGAGTAAATGGAATCATTGTTGTCCCACGTCGGCCAGCATTGCTGCTGTCGATCCGAAAAACAAGATGAAACGAGCAGTGGCTGGCTATACACATGGCCTGTTTGGCCATTTATGGTTATTACGGAATCACAACGAAGCTAGAATATCAAGTGTGGCTGTGGGATGTGAAGACTTTTCTTTGCAATCCAGTGAACAGTGGGCCGAATTGGATGGGAGGCAAGTGTGGTTTCTTGGTCGAGCAATCCGCTTGGACTGGTAGAAAGGTGGTTGAAGCCATTGTTTTGGGCCTCCCTTCGTGCAATCTGCGCTTGTACAGGTCTCTGCGGTCTCCAGACCGCGAGTGATGAGTCGCGAAGAGCAAAAGAGGTGTCCTTGTCTACTGTCGTCTCTCGGTTGGGGCTCGGTAACGTGTGAGTTGGAGTCTGTCAGACAGAATTGTCAAGCAGGAGGTTGGAAGCTGGCGCATCGAGGTTGTGAATAACTGGCAGGAAACGAGGGCGAGGGGGTCTAAAATTGCTTGAACCTCTATATAAATTCATTCCATCGACATCTGCGCAGTATCATAAGTTTGATGCCACTAGGCATACGAGGTCATCATGAGGCAAAAGGACTCGGCCAGCTCTTCACACACGTATATCCATTTGAGTCACGCGACGCTTCGAGAAAGCAGTGGTCCAATGTTCGTGGGCTTTTACACCTGATACACGCCTGTTCGCAGCCTTTGTTCCTAGCTCCTTTCTAAGGCCACACCCACCCGTTTGCAGTATAGGGCGGCGGTTGGTCCTCGGCGGCTTCCTCGGGTTCTTGCTGTGAGTCAGCCTCACTGTTCAATGACGGGTCAGGAAGCGCTTCCTCGGCTCGCTCAGCTTGCACGGGGTGAGCCGGTAAAGAAAGAGTGACTGTGCTGGCGTTCTTTTGATCCTTGTCGTCATTTGATGCCTCAGGGGGGAGGCATGAACTGGAGTGTCCCTGTGACGATGATGATGATGCATCGGCGTGCGCCTGCGCTGGCGATGATTCTCTGTCTTGCCTCATCTTCCCTTTCAGGGTGGACTCGGCTTCATCATCGGGGGTAGATTTATTTGGCGGGTTGGCGCTGGTGCCGCCCCATCT